GCGCCGGGCGCGGAGCGCGCCGCAGGCGGCCGGGAAGTTGGCCGCACGGGGGGCGTGGCCGTGGGAAAGCGCTCGGAGGGGCGCGGGGCGCTGCCCCCCACTTGTCATTCTAAGCCGCGGGGTTAGGACACGCTTTTCCGTGGCCCGCGCTTTTTCGTGCTTGGCGCTTCGCTTGGCAGGTTGAAATTCCTCTCCTGAAGTTGGCGCTGAGCTCGGGTCATGTCCACGCCTCTGCAGGTCCCTCCAAGTCCCTGTCCCCCTTGGCTTGGGTTGTGATGAATGTCAGTGTGTGTCTGAGCTTCCTTGCCTCATCCGCACTCAGGAGAAAAGGGTACTAGGGCCCAGAGTGGATGGAGCGGCAGAAAAGTGTGACCGCCCCCTCCCCCCCCAAGACTCCGGGTTTTGTGGCCGGGGCCGTCGGTGACCCTGCACAAGTGCAGCCTGGTTCTAAGGGAGAGAACATGTGGGAGGGACACTGTTTTCTGGAAACTTGCCCTGAACTGTAGGTCACGGTCTGTTTCTCTCTCTTGTTAACTACCCTTGTGGCCTTCGAAGTCTTTCCAGTTTTGTTTGTTTTTAACAGCCCAGAGAGATTTGCCCAAGGCTGGTGGGATGCTAGGCTCCGCTGGGAATGAGCCAGACCCACCCCTGCCCTCAGGGCGCAGTGTGTGGCTGAGCTTCCTTGCCTCAGGGGCACACCACGTGAGAGACAGAGGGACACTGCCCTGTTGGCCACTGATGCCGGACAGGACGAGGAACTGGGGGTTTGTTTTTGTCTAGAGACTGTGAGAGGCTTGGTGGGATGAAATCCCGACATTTCTTTTTTCTCCAGAGGAGGAGACGGATATTTATTTCTAGTCTTACCAGTCTGGGGAATTTGGGGGCCACCTTTAGGGTCAAGAAACTCGTTAAAACACTGTTCTAGTGTCTTAGTGAATTTTTTTTCAATAAACGTCTTTTTCTCATTATAAAACACTAAACGTCTTTTTCTCATTATAAAACACTGTTCTGGTGTCTTAGTGAATTTTTTTTCAATAAACGTCTTTTTCTCATTCATTACCAAAATTGGGGGAAAATGGTCTAATTAATAATGTAATCTCCCAGACATATGACTATTAATATTGTGGCTTGTTTCTTCACAGTTTTTAAGGCAGTGATGTGGTGAACATCTTTGATGATGTGTCCTTGGAAGCACTCTGAGTATTTCCTTAGGATAAAGATTCCTAGAAGAGAGTATTGGGCCAAAGACCATGGTGCATTTTGCCAAAATGCCCTCCAGCAACGTCGGGCCAATTTGCTATCTTCCCACTGGAGCGAGTGGGCCTGTTTTCCTGCCAGTACTTAGCTGTGTCATTCCATTTTTTCTCTGGCAATCTGGTAGGTAAAACAAGCCTTTCATCACTTTAATTTTGGTTTCTTTGACTGCTGGTGATGTTGAACATCTTTCCATTTTTTTATTGGCCATTTGGAAAATTGCCTGTAAGGGTACTTTGCCCATTTTTTATTTTTCTACTGGGCTGTGTGTTTTTTTCTCTGTGTATTCTAATAGAGCTTTTAATGTGAGGGAATTTAGCCCGTGTTTGCCAGGCACTCATGGACATTGCATTTATTTTTTGAACTTGTCATTATTCTTTTGCCTATGAATTTGGGATTTTTTTTTTTTTTTGGTTTGTTTTGTTTGCATTGCCCCAATTTTAAATTTCTCTCTACCTAAGGCTATCAGATTTTCTTTTATTGTTTCTGGCTTTTGGCTAAGGCCTGGGACAGCTTTTACCATCAGAGATTTCATAAATATTCATCAATTTAATGAAATTCAAAATAAGATGCACCCCTGGAGACATGTGACCTAAGGCTTTCTGTGGGATTCTGAGGCCAGAGTGTGTGGCAGGTAGAAACAGTTTCTCAAAAAGGAGAGCATTTTCTTTACTTGTTTTTGAAGCTACTGACTTTCAGATGTTGGTTGCTTGATTTCTTAACCTTAGGAGGCCCCGCCTGTGCCTCCTGAGGTCTTCATCAGAGGAACAGGAAGGGGCATCTGTCTTTGTCAGAGTCCTCTGATTGTGAGAGGTGCTGGCTTTGGCCCTGGGACTCCCCTCTGGTTGGGCTTCTAACTGTGCAGATTCTGTGTCTCTTGGGAACAGCCCCTGAGGTCACCTTCTATCTGTCCTGACCGTAAGCTCCTCTGCCGGGGAGGGAGTGGTGGGCTCCTTGCATCTTTCCAC